AGTTGTAAACTATTCACATCACGAGACTAGGTCAAATTAAGCTCCAAAACATAATATTCAATCATTACCCTGAATCCTCATCGACCCCTACAAATATTTCTTAGAAATAAATTTGCTCGATATGGTTACTTACTTGATTATAGACTTCTTGAACTTATTTCGAGTTTTCGAAGATATTTCAAATTTCTCTAAAATTCCTCAATATAGCCTAAATTAAGCGATGAAGGCCATAGAACTAATGTTAGAGTAGTCGTATTTATGTCTATTTTATATCTCTGAGTTAGATCAAACATTCTTCTATTCTATTTTTTGTTTTATTTAAATTTCACTTATTTTGTTTTGAAGCTTTCATTACGAATGTTTAAGTCCATGGCATCGTTTTTTTTTTTAATATTAAAAGAATATTTTTTATATGAACCACGACTAAGGAATTTCCATACCTCAAGGTCCAATTACAAGGACGAGAGTCAAAGAATATACCACAAACCTTGTACACTTATATTCAAACTGTGGTAAGCTCATCAAAGAAAATTTTAGAAGAATTAGAGACCTCCATTAACTAGCTATTTTAATATTGTAACCTGGTTACCCTATTCCACCTTAACTAGCTATTTTAATATGGAGGTTAGGGGTATTTATTATTTACTAACTAATTTAATTTGGAAGTTACATGTCATCTAGGTTAAGATTGTAAAGGCCGTATGAAGCCTCCTTTACTTTCATTAGGGAGATCACATTTTTTGAATTAAAAATGAATAGAATTTCTATTTTTTTTAGCTCTATTGAGAGCTAAGATCTTCTTTGCAAATTCTTGTGTTTAGAACTTGCATGCTAGAGTCATTCAAGTGGCAGTGATCAAATATCTTATGGAGTGATTTGAATCACGAGTTCAGAAACGAGTTTTCTTTACTCTTGATCTTGATCTTCAAGGTAATCCGTTTCATACTTTTCCTTGAGTTGATTTCATATCAATTTTCGTACTTAATAATCATGTCATGCATGTAATATCGACTTTATTATAGTTAAAAAAAATAGATTCCCTCCCTAAAAAAAAAACCAATATGGTTGTTGCGAAAAAGATTATGAAATCTTACTAATGGACTGTCACGTCTCATTGTTTCTTTAATTAATCTATCAAAAACCAAAACATAATATTAAAAATTTAAATATTTAACTATTCAACACATTTATTAAAAATCTCTTCAAATAATTAAAATAATGAAAAAAAAACTATTTAATCTTATAATTATAATAAATATTCACTGATGACCACATCTTTTGGTTCTAATTATTTTGTAATGAATTATTTAAAAAATATTTTATCGCAATTTAAGTGGATCCGCAACTTAGGTCAATATTCATAATTAACTTTGTGGATAAGAAATACCACAATTATTTTAAATAATGTGTGACATCCATATAAATTATTTTAACATATGGTCCTAACTCATGGATAGGGACCATAATTAATTGATAATTTTCATATAATGTGCACACATACACACATAAACAAGTAAAAATGGCCACATTAAATTTTAATTTAAATAATAATAATAATAATAATATCTCATTTTTAAACTTTCCACTAATTTATTTATTTTTATAAAGTTAACACAAATTATTGTTTTGAATTAAAATATACAATTTAAAATTTCCTAAAAACTTAGGAGCTAAAATTAATAATTTAAAATTTAAATAAAAAATATTTTTTATTTAAAATATATATCTTTCTTAAATTATGGTCCCAAGCCACTCTCACGTTCGATTTCTATTTTATTATCTTTAAATTAAAATTTATACGATAATCTTTGATTAGAAAATTAAAAAATTTAGTACTAATTAAAATTGGTGCGATGACGATGGTAGGGACCACATGTATGTTCGATCTATCAATTATGAAATCAAAATCTTATATAATGGAGTCGCTATCGTTTGTAATAAAGATTTGTTCGAAAAATTTAAATTTTTTTTTTTTAAATAATGAGAAATTTAATCCATAGAAAAGGGAGTGAGGGGAAAGCATTAAATATTGTAAAGTAGGCGTCACCCATTTGCTTGGTGAATTAAAGACCAGAAACAAATGAGGAGGAGAATGATTCTTGACAATGACTTTCCACCATTAAAAATTCAAATTTAAATAATATTAATTAATTAATTAATTAATTAGATTTTTTCCCCAAATAATTAAATTTATGAACAATTATAGTATTATCGTCTCAAATTTTGATATTCATTAATTCCAGTTTCAAGTTCAAAGGTCCATTTCATGACGTTTCTTTTTTTTTTTTTAATTTTTTAGAAACCCTATATAAGCCTTCAATTATCAATTAACTTTGTTGCGTATATATATATATATATATATATTTTTTTTTTTTTTTTNAGAAACCCTATATAAGCCTTCAATTATCAATTAACTTTGTTGCGTATATATATATATATATATATTTTTTTTTTTTTTTTTAATTTTAAAATTATTTTTATGATTATTTATCCATGTATATATATAATTGAGTTGTAAATTAAATTAAATGTTTGAATATAAATAAACAAGTATTCCTGTAAATTTTTTATAGCATTCTTCGTAAGTTGTGATAGCTCATGTTGTTAAATGTCTGGGACATTTAATAACCTTGAGGTTTAGGTTATTATTCATAAGTTGGGTGATTCATGTTGGATTCCTCGAGAAAACCTTTGGCTTTCTTTCTTCATTTCTCATTTTCTCTCGCTTGCTCCTTTTTCTTTAAGAGTTCTTTGTTCGATATTTGAGGATTTACAATCTATTGGCACGACTAAGTTTTAGGGCATGACTCTGATACCATGTTAGATTGAATACGACTCTCCACAATGGTATGATATTGTCCACTTTGAGCATAAGCTCTCGTGGCTTTGCTTTGGGCTTCCACAAAAGGTCTCACCCCAATGGAGTTAGTATTCCTCACTTGTAAACCCATGATCACACCCTAAATTAGTCGATGTGGGACTTCCATCATCCAACAAATTTATTTACTGAGACACAAAATATAGTTTTGAAGAGTCATTCCAAATCTAAATTCTCTTACCTCGTCCATAATGTGACTGAGAACTTTACTCAAGGCATCACCAATCATTTCTAAGATTTTATTGAAGTGGTTGAAGATTTAATTTCAAGATGTGGTAGAAGAAAAAAAATATTCGAAATAATTTTAGTAACTTGATAAAAATTTAAAAAAATAGTAAAAAAAAATTTTTTTAAAAAATCGGTCAAAACTAACTAAGGGGCAAAATTGTCATTTTATCTCCCTTTCCGATTGAAGGGCATGAGGCACCCCTTATCGACCATTAGTAAGGGAGAAAGAAAAAGAAAAAGAAAAAAAATAGAAGGATTAGGATTTCAAGAGAGGAGGAAGAAGAAAAACACAATTTCATTCATTCGAACAATTTAAGTATAATTTTGGCCGAGAGGTCTAAAGTTCAATAAGTTGATCCAGGAAGTGTTCCTCACATTTTTTGTGAGGAAATTTGAAGTCGAATCGAATTTGAAGGAGGAGTTCTTGCGAACGTCGAGAACGATAAGATTATGTGTTTTTAGCCAACCTTAGACTTGATTATATCTTTTTGTGGTTGACGATTAATTACGAAAGAATAAATTTAAAAAACAGGATTGTAACACTACAACTCTCATGAATTAATCTTATTAATTTAAATTATGTAAAAAGAGATACAAAAATCCTAAGAAATTACAAAACTTACGAGGAGAAAGATGCATGCTATGCACAGATTCAAGTCATGTGTTTGACGGTGAAAGAAGCTGTGCGGTAGGCTGTGAAACATACGTGTGGAAACATCAATTGAAAATATTGCTCGGGTGAAATGGACGTGTGTTGATCAGTGGTTCATAAGTGAAGGATTTTTGGTACTATGTACTCTATGTTTTACATATGTAACCTCATGTGCGTGTTTATTTTACCCTTACGATTATATTTTTCACCTTAAGTACTATTGCCTAGAATTAGTTTATGATCCAATCATAAACTAAGTTCATATTCGGCGGGTAAAAGGGTGGTGTCCATGGTTCAGGTCTCAAAATTAATTCTTGGAACTACTCCTCTACTCTTTCTATATGGGAATTAGTGAATTTCATTTTATAAGATTATATTCCCGGCTCCCAATTTTTCTTGAACTCCAAAATGGTAGGCATATTAAATCAATAAAAGTCATTCTTGCCTATGCTAATTAAACGACAAGCGCTCACACATAAGAGTTCATAAATCCCTCAAGATTAAGATCGAGAACTGTTGAACAACTCTATGTGGGAAACGCTCGATGGAGAAAGATTTACAAAACACTCTGTAGAAACTATTTTGTATTGAGTGGGATTTCTTGGGACGATGAACTAAGTAGGGGGAGGGATATTTATACTCGAATCTAGTCAATTTATTCCTAAAATTTCTCAACGTTTTTTCTAAAATACATAATTCATTTTCCTAAATTTATTTCTAAAATTCTAAATCATAAATATAATTACTTAGTTGGGTTTAAGGCTAGTAATGATATTTTAACAAGAACCATGTGTTCAAGAACTATTAACCTTCTCAATTAACTTATTTATAAGGAGAGATAAACTTTACGGACAAATATTATACAAATTCATTGTATACGATACCACACTCACATACCATTATATGCATGATTTTGGATCAAATCATTTAAAACGGTAACAAAGTGGAGTTGGCTATATCAATAGTATTTTCACAACAAAGCACCCGACCTTATCCATATAGTAGAAATCTTTTGAGTTAGACAGACCGTTTCTTATATTCCTATATTCGTACAATGTTAGGAGATCAAATGAAAATCCAATCATTTGGCCCAAGTACTTCAAACTTACTATTACTAAGTTTAGTATGATATATATATTTTTTAAAAATGTTTCTAATTGAAATTATTTTTAATAAACTAAAACATTTAATGTTGTTGAAGAAAAGTATGTTCCAAACCTAAATGTGCTATTTTTAATTTCTCAACAATGTTACAAATTCATATCAAACCTAAATGATAATAATAATAATAGAAAATAAAAAGGTACAAACTAAATGAACATCAATGGTCAATGTAAGCTTCAAATTTTTATTCAAATTAAAGACGAATCTAATTTTATTTTTAGGCCTTAATTTTCAAATAGGGAAAAGCAAAAGCCAACACCAAGAGCAATAGAGGAATTAGAACATGTAAAGGCGAAAAGGAAAGTAGACTCGGAGTTGGTTTGTGTGGAGTAGTTTCCACGTGTTTCTGTTCCGTCGGGAGAGTCAACGGGTCGATTTTACCTATCTGATACTTTTTCATCCTCTCTTTAGCTGATTCACTATGTCCAACACTCTTAAAATCAAATGTCGCATCTTTTTCTGCAAATTCAAATATGTTATAAGTTCCATGCTCAAAATCTTTGTATTACGGTCCAATATTTTTCCCACGAAAAAAACTATTGATTAAAAAGATATATTTTGGTTAATAGCATCTTACCCACAGCCAATACCAAAAGCTCACCGCCACCTGGGTGATCCGGTAAATAAGAAGTTACATCATACACCTAAATCAACATCGAGAGATTAGAAATATATCCCAAAAAAATAATAAATAGAAAATAGAAACTAAATATTTAATTTAAAGTCTTTATTACTACTAACGAGCTGATTCTTCCAATGACATGTTGCATTTCATCAAAGTCTCAAAATCTTGATAATGTTATAGAAATACCCGTAAACTCAAAAAACAATTATCAAACACTCGGTTTATTTTAATCGAAATTAATGATTTTTAAAAAAAATTAAAACAAAAAAGGAACATACAAAACCAGAGATGATAAGCCAGCAATCTTTCTCGTGGTTGTGTTTTGCAACTTCATCGAAAGTATAGACTTTAGAATTTGAATCCATTTGTGCGAACCGTACCTAACCAAATTTCCGACCATAAATATGAGAAGAAGAGGAAGAAGAAGAAGAGGAAAAAAAAGGTTTTGAGAGTTGAGAGGCACTTACTTGAAGATCTTCCAAAAATGTTTCCTTTGTGAGTCTATTTATTTTGGTTGGTTCTCCAAAAAATACAATTTATCATCATATTCTACTTAATTTTATACAATTTAAGGACCAGATCTGCGGCCGAACCACGTGAAAAACGACTAAATGGTCACATCCAAGTTTTTCGTTTTTCAATTTTCTTAGGTTGGGCCCAAGCCCAAGCCCACGTTTGGAGGACAAGACCTTTTTTTTTTTAGATTGGTTGAGAGTTGGGTTTTTCTTGTGTTTAGAACTTGCATATTAGAGTCATTCAAGTAATATTGATCAAACCTTTTTTGGAATGATTCGAATCACGAATTTAGAAATGAGTTTTCTTTACTCTTCATCTTGATCAGGTAATCCGTTTTCATCAAGGTAATCCGTTCCAAACTTTTCCTTAGGTTGATTCCATATCGAATTAAAGAAACACGTAACATACTGGAGAACTAATCCATGATTATATGACAGACAACATACATAAACTCTCGTGATTCAATAAAATGATGCATATAATACTTTCATTCTTTTCAAAACATAAATTTCATATGAGACGTACGTGCACATATCATAGTATTTCATTCATGTTTATCATACATGATGCATCTTGATGTCTCACAAGGCATAAACATGATCATATAACATAACAACTATACTCAACAAACAAGAACATGCGTCACAAAATATGAATAACAATATGTAAAAAATAGTCACATGATACATGTTATTTATGCTTCAATCAATTTCATCAAATCAAACTCGTAAGCATTCTAAAAGCTCACTTACAGTTTTATGCTCAACCCTACTGCTCTTAAGCTCATCCTAGTTGATCAATCCTAGGTTCAACTCAATCGAAATCTAGAGTTGAATATTCCTAGATGCAACTCAATCGAAATCTAGATTCACCTATGATATTTCGTTCATTCTAAAAGTCAAATTTAAAAGTCTATTCATGGAGCCAACATAATTTAACTATCATAAAACAAGTCCTAAACAAAGCTATATCATTAATGGTTTAAAACAATAGCTATACTAACTTTTTCTAGGTTTAGTTATACCAGAAATGATTCTAAACAAGTTTAAAATGGTCAAAACTAAACAAACGAACCGAAGAAGTCGACCAAAGATTTGTTTTCAATATGACTATAATAATATACCTATTTAAAAAATGAAGGTACCTTAAGCTTAGAATGACTTATACAATGACTCAAGGTACTTCTCCCTCGTTTCATTTTCTCCTATCTAAGAATCTACCTTACAAGTAAATTCATATAATTCTAATTTGAAGATTCAAATTATAAATGTCTAGACATCGTATCAATATCAACTAGTCATTCTTTCAAATTCGACTCTTAAAAATGAGTCATTTATCTAGGTAATCCTTTAATTGTTCAAGCACTTTACCTGAGTTATTTGCATTCTTGGGAACCCTGTTAAACATACATGCTTCCAAAACCAACAAATTCTCATACTACTTTCATTCAATATTTGTTACTTTTTCTCGTACGTGGGACTCTATCTTCTCGAGTAGATAAACAAAAACAAATGAGGCATAATTTATGGAATAAAATAATATGGTAAATGAAAGTATGAAATAAAAAAATTTCATTATCATTTGCATTATTGGAACCCAAAAAATATCTGCACTCCTGCAACTAGATCAGGTAATAAAGAAACATTGGTTCATCTGATTGAATTTAGAAGAGTTGAAGAAACCATATGAATCTGAAACAAGCTGTAAATGCTGTTATGACTGACACAATGGTAGCAATACATACTATTTAAGGGGTTTCAGTACCCGGCTACGGTATTCCCCAAGGGCCCATATAGGGAAAATGTTACGGTATGCTGAATAGCTAATCATGCAGTTCTTGTTAAAGACACCCATGATCTCCTGTAACAAAGAAATCTATAAATTAAAAACACAAATACTGCACTAATTCTAGATAATGTGTTGCTTACATTCTTTGATATTGGTAACTGCAAACCAGGCTGCATTTTTTAGTAATTTAACTGAAGAGAGTAAATTCCATAGTTACCTCTTGAGGAAAATCTCCGTCTTCCATCTGAGAATTAATTAATACCCTTGCTGCACGGTGTAATGGTGTTGGATCTCTCTCAGACTAACCACCAGAAAAATTGTAATCATTACAATGAGTTGATATCAAAAGCTTAAAAACATCTTAGGAAGTAACCAAATTATACCCAATATGAAGTAAATGCAAAACGAATCATGCTAAACCAATATTTGAAGGAAACCAATGAATATCAAATACCTGCCCTGCATCGATGAGGGATAACATAGCCCAACCAGTATTGACAATATGTGGCCTGTCATCTTTAATATTTGTGTACACCTGTTCAAATGATAATAAGATTCATGAAACGGAAGAGGGAAAAATAAGGTAAAAATCAGTCACGCTTCACATGATCTCATGATCCAGCAAACGTAGTGGGTTATATAATTCATAACATAAAAGTAGCCCAAAATTCCAATTCATTGGGGAACTTTGGCTGTGACTCGTAACATAAAAGCAGGCCAAAGTTTGACTCCGTTGAAAAAATAGACAATTTTGTTCAACCCCTTGTAAAAATGCCTATGCACTGAATGTAATGACTTTAAATGAGTAGAAATGCTAATGAAGGTGAAAAAAAGTTCCATAATTGATACAACCTTATTCTGGCAGGAAAGGTAACTTTCTCCCCAGCCACCGGCAGCAAGCTCTCTGGACAACAGGAAATCACAAGCTTTACGAAGGCTAGCACAGTTATCGTATCTCCTTCCAGCAGCGACCAGCCCCCTTATCCCAAACCAACCACCATAGGTGAAGCAGACTCCCCAAGATCCATACCTAAAGTTCATGCATATAATATATCAGCCTATGCCGCTCACAAGTCACAGTATAGTATAGCACAACAATACCATTCTAGTAGAAAAGTCATTCAAAGAGACTAAATACTTTTTCTTAAGATGGAAAACCTACTTTCATAGAGCAAATGAAAGGATGTATAAAGGGACTAAACGTATCAAGTTAACTTTAAAAATATAACCAGGAAATTGAAACAAACCAAGATCCATCAGTTGCTTGTATACTTTCAATGAAGTCCGCAGCTTTAGCAATACAATTATCAATTTCATCCCTTCTATGACCTGGATATAATTTCTTGAATGCTGCAAGTGCTTGAATCGCTGCTGAGGAACACTCGACATATCTATATATTCAATTGGTCTAACATCAAATTCAAGACTAATATACAACAACAAAAGGCTAAAACAATGAACACGAGTGTTTCAAAATCTCACGGGTAGTCAATGACAATATCGCCAAAAGTTTCAGCAGGGTTCATTAGCTGAAAATTAAACGCAAATAATAAGTAATCCAAGCTACACGAAGAGGGAAACAAAATAACGTGGATAAGGATTAATTTATTTACCTCCAGCCACCGATATGACCTGGTCAACTCATAAGTTGCAAAGCCACCATCAGTATTCTGCAAGCTAATAACTTGGATTAAAGGAAGGCTATGGCTAATTAACTTGGATTTGAAGAATAAATATATAGAGTATGCTTGGATTGTAAGAAGCCTAAATTATTTTGAACTCAAGGGTAATTAATAGTACACCTTCAGATTAAAAAGACGAAGAAAATGATATATGTTATACCTGGTGATGCCAGAGAGATCTATAACGAAACCTAACCCATATATTTGTTATACAAGTCTAACCCATCAGCATCCAATTCCAATAGACACTTACGTGTATTATTAAAAAAGCATACAGCCATAAACCCTGATTACTTGAAGTAGGCACACAGGAGACAATGAAGAACTAGACTCGATATCCATTTGTCACGCAGGTTGAAGTAGCCACAGGGGTCAATTAACTCGATTTGTTTGTTTAGTTACTATGCCTACCTCGAAGTAGGTTTTACACGAACCACTATAAGACACAAGGGTGACAGATCTTGTGAGCTAAAAGTATCTAAAGAAAGAAATTCATCAATTGGCATCCACGCATAAGTTTTTTGATAGAGTAATGGTTGACTGGAAAAAAGTCTTTGGTTGGTGGTGATTCAGCTTGCATTAATGAGTACTCGATCAACGACAGAAACATCTTTCAATGAAAATCTTATCAATTCACCCATTAGACAACAAGACTTCACTAGTCAAAACTAAACATAGGATCAATGCCAAGAAATAGACATTTAGGTTCAAGATTGCAAAAAGCTTGGAGGAGTGGATCTTGAGGGAGGAAATTTTTCAGCTGAAAGTCAAAACCATACCAAATTCAGAACCATCTTACATCAAGGCACATTAACCACGGTTACCTGTAAGGACAGGATGACATTTACAGCGTTGTATAGCTGTTGTGCATCAATTGACTTCCCTACTATTTCTGAAGGAAGTTTTGACAATAAAAGAACAGCCTGCAGAAATAGACAAATATCATTATTTGAAGAAAAGTAATGGCCAATGATGTCTGATAATTGTTCGGGATGGTAAGGTGAAGCAATGCCGGAAATTTTCATTTCCCACTCTAGTGGATTTTCATTCTTCATTACAGATTGTCAGACTGAATATGAGAAACCTCCTCAAGAAAAATTAGTATTCTTCCCCATTTAGTTTAATACTCTAAAATATTTTTACATATAACAAAAAGAAAATCATAGTTTTTTGGGAAAAAAAATTATAAGATCATTTTGATTGAATTATTTCATATCTTTTACTAATTTAAAGGTCTAAATAATTGATAATTACCATATGAATTAAACTTTTAACTACCAAATCATATAAAAAATAAATTTTAAAAACAGGTTTAGTGGTAAACTCTACTAAAAATTTATATATAAAAACAAATCCATACCTTCAAACCTTCAGCAGTGCAGTCAGAGATGGGCCATCCATGATCCGCAGTTGAAAATGGCCATGCACCTTTTGAAATATGACGGTACCAACTTTGTAAATCTCCAGGACAATCTTCTAAGACCTGTA